AGATGCATGTAACTGCAAATAAATGTCTGCAAGGTGACAGCATGAGACAGAAGACAGTCCCAGAGAGATGTTCATGAAAAAGCAGTTAGAGCAAATATGCCCTAAAGGGTAAGCATAAAATTCACAACTGGGAGCTGTGGAAGATGAAGCAAAACACCAAGCTGCAAAATACGTGAACTTCCAGCTAAAGGTAAGACATGTATGCAAGACGTCAGTGGAAGGATGTTTTGCAACACAGACAGATCCAAAAGGGAACATTAGGATGACAGCAAAGAAGTACATCTTCAACAGCATACAGAATGTCTCTGTATGCAGGTAAATTTTGAAACATTTTCACAAAACTTTAAATGTCAGAATGCTAGTAATCTGCTAACATTATAGTAACCTGGTAGTAGTCTGCTCTGTGCTTCCACTAGGCAGATATTTGAGAAGAACAATGGAGATTTTCAGGCAGGTTTTTTATTGTATTAATGGAGTCTTCTACAGCATATCAGTCATCACGGTTTGTGTCTGGACTACAACCAGTTTGTAGGGGTAAGGTGAATAAGGACTCTTGCATTTGTAGTAGTTGTTAAACCTGAACAAAGAGGGCCACCCTAACTGAACATGAAAGAAACTAAACCAAAGTTTGGTGTTGATGCTTTGACTTGTTAGGAAAACTAACAGACACCATTAGGTAACAATAAAAATTCTATAAATGCTTTTAGAAAGTAATGTGCTTTAATCTTGATTATTTTCTAGCCGCCCAGGAGAAGATAGTATGCCTGATGGTGTGGTATCAGGAAGTAAAATTCTCACCTCTTTTAATTCCTGAGAGAAACTCAACAGGTATGGGAATACACTTTAGAAAGTGGTTCAGATCCCTCTTTCTCTTCCAAAGTACTTTCAGGAAAAAAAAAGAAATAGTATTACATATGGCCATATCAATGCAGATAAGCGAACATGGTATTTAGGCCTATGGATCTGAGGCATAAAAATGATATTCCAGTTGTGTTTGTATGTCTGTAGCAGTACTGGGGTGCTTGTGTAAATGATCGTTAGTTCCATTATATTCTAAATTATTCAGCATTTCATAGTCAAAGCAATGCTGCCATTGGTTTCATGGTGTCCTCAGTCCTAAGCATTTTGACAAATTATATCAGAAGACTTGTTCAGCACATTCTTGAGATGAGAAACACTAATGTAATGACCACCTATGTAAAGTTTGATTTATTTTATTTGCTGTAATTTGATATCACATAGGAATTCTGTAGTTACAAAGAATGCAGGATTCTGGAGGGAGTCTTTGGCAGTTTTAACTATTGAACACTCCTTTCTGTAATCTCTTGTCCTGTTCACTGCATTCTTTCACAATCAGCATAAAATAAAGAAAGAACACTGTAGACATCATGCTTTTTGCCTGTGCACTTATGTTTCATTGGTTAGGCAGCTTCAGACTGTCCTGGACAAGACAGGGTCACTGGGAAAACCTGTGTCATCGTGTAGTTGTAAGGAGTATTATAATGATCAACAGAGGGCACAGTAAGCTTACAGAAGCAACAGTATGGTGTCTCATACCTTTTCAGACCTTGTTTTACTAAACTCTCTGAAGTTATTTTGGAGAGTGTCATGGTTTAACCCCAGACAGCAACTAAGCTCCACCCAGCCACTTGCTCACACCCCCCTGGTGAGATGGGGGAGAGAATCAGAAGAGTAAAAGTGAGAAAACTTGTGGGCTGAGATAAAGACAGTTTAATAGGTAAAGCAAAAGCTGGTCATGCAAGCAAAGCAAAATAAGGAATTCATTCAACACTTTCCATGGGCAGGCAGGTGTTCAGCCATCTCCAGGGAAACAGGGCTCCATCACATGTAATAGTTGCATGGGGAGACAAACACCATCACTCCAAATGTCCCTCCCTTCCTTCTTCTTCCCTCACCTTTGTATGTTGAGCAGCACATCATATGGTCTGGGATATCCCTTTGGACTGTTGGAGTCAGCTGTCCCTGCTGTGTCCCCTCTCTTGTGCACCCCCAGCCTCCTCACTGGTGGGGTGGGGTGAGAAGCAGAAAAAGCCTTGACTCTATATAGACACTGCTCAGCAGTAATGAAAACATCTCTGTATTATCCACACTGTTGTCAGCACAAATCCCCATACTAGCTACTATGAAGAAAATTAACTCTATTCAAGCCAAAACCATCACAGAGGGTTCTAATAATTTATTAGTCTCAGTAAACTCCATGTTTGTTTTTGATTTATTTCTGATCTCTAAATTTGGGCACTTTATTGCAGTGTAGCAGTGATGGATATATACATTGCTTTTTTGTTCACAATATTGCCAGCTCACTTGCATGTTGTAGGTGACTGCTTGAGGAACTAGTTGGCAACTGTTCAAAGATCTTTGTCTGGCTATTCTCTACCAAAAAAATACCTTAGTATCTGATGCTAAATCAGTTCTCTTTTTTGATTATCTCTAAGAAAGTAGGAGAAAAAAGAGACACTAACTGATGAAACTTTCTTGAGTAGAGTTACAAACACTGGCTGAGCAGATGCTTACACTGTCATGACTGGATACAGAACTGGTGAGACATGTCTTCTTTATTACAATTTGGTGCCTGAACTAACAAGTCCTACCAAGACAGCCATCCTGCTACCAGGGACTTCAGCCATGGCACGTACAGTGCAGTGCGATGTGGATCTGTAGCTAAGGTAACTGCCCCATTATCTGATACAGACACCTTCAGTTCTAGTTATAAATAGCAACTTCATTTTCTGATAGCAGTGGTTCAGTTGAAAGGGATAATTTTTGGTGAGCTTAAGACATGTTGAGGATATCCAAATGTGGATACCAGTCTTTTAAACATATGAATGAAAATTCTTGTGTTAGTTCACATGAAGATGCAAACTCTTCATAAACTTTAAATACAATAAAGACTGTGTGTCCTTTCATTTAACTGACCTGAACTGAAAGCACAGCTGGAGAACACAGAGTTGACATTTTCATTTACACTAAGCTGGAATACTATACCAGGTCCTTAGCTATTCAGTTGTGCTGAATTCTTCAGAGTAATATGGCTGCAGACTTCACTGTAACGTAACTGCCATCAAGGGAGAGGAGGAAGTGTCACTAGGTAAATGGTTAGTATTCGCATGCTAGGAATAAATATAATGAATATGCAGAAGGTTTTAGAACATGTCAAAATCTGCAAACATTCATTTATGTAGCAATATATGTCAGACCGTAGTTGCTAATATGCTGCATACACATTGGGAAAGGTTATGTTACTTCTAAGAGGATATGATAGTGCCTGGCAGGGCCTTCAAAATGCCTGTGAAAAGGAATTATGTGTATTCCTAAGGGTGATTGCATTAAATCTGGTGCTCAAAGTCATTAAAATAGTGACAATTCCTTCCTAATTGATATGCTTACTCAGTGCTTACTAACAGCTCTGTACATATAATGGCATTTAATTTTCCAGAACTCTGTCAAACAGTATAGTCACATCCTGCTATTCATTTACATTAGATGATAATGGTAGTTTAAAAGATGTTTCCAGTAACACCATAGATATTTTTCAGGTTAACAGCTGGCAGTCTAAAGCATCTCTGCATTGAAACACTTGCTTTGTTGTTATGTTCTATCAGAAAGTCCTCACGTCTGGACTGTGAAGAGACCCTGCTGTGACTGGATAATTTTTTTGCATCATTTTTTGGACTCCTTGAAAGAGGTTGTCTTTTCTAAGTTGCTGAGTCAGATGCTTTATTATCACAATTTCTTTCAGAAAAGTGAGGGGTCATTCCTGTACTTCATGAAGGTTTTTTAGCTTTTCTGTTGCTCTCTCAGTGTGTCAGCATGTTTGTCTTTTCCACCTTCTTCTTAAGAAGTTCTCATTCATGTAGTTCCCTTGAGCTTCATGCTGTTGAAAAGCTATTGTATGTTGCTTTCATTTCGCCTACTACCCTGAAAATAAAAAGTATTTTTGTCAGGTAGTAGCCCATAACAGTTCTTGAAGGACAGTGTGGCTTTGCCTTGCACAAGGGAAGCCAACATCCCCAATTTGCATCTTGAACAATGTTGAACTCCATCCAATTTATCCCTTTATAACCAGCATATGGAAAAGTAGGAAAACTGGGGTGTACACACATTTCCCTATTGTCGAGATGGGGAAAGCAATGGCTTTCACTGAAATGCTTAATCTCTTCTCCTCTCAGTTCCTGTCAGCTGTTTGTCGTACTGAATTTTACAAAATATAATGAAATTTTTTCAGGTAGTGGAAAGTTCTTAAAGCTGAAAATATTTTAATGCAGAAATAATAAGGGGAAACAAGCATTTGAATAACACTTGGTGATGTTTTGGGTTAATTTGGGGAATGTCTGATATTGTACACATTAAAAATCCTTGAGACTGATTTCAGCTGGGACTTCATGCATGATATTATGAGACTGAAGTGGGCAAAATCTTTGTCTTTGCTTCCTGGAAAAGCATCATGTTTCAGACCTTCATTTAGGGGAGAGAAATTGATAGTATTACATTGTATACCATCTTGTAGATGCCAAATTCCTTACAAATGTACTATCTACAAGTAGTAAGCTTCAAGATGCTTAGAAGAAAACACAATGTAATAAAAGGTGGTCTGAAATGAAGATGATGTATCAAACAAAAAGAGTGCTTTAGGTTATAAATATTCTAATTTAGCTGTGTGCGTTCTAAATTGTCTTTGTAGTCCAGCTCGGAAAGGCTAATTTTTCATAGTCTAAGACAAGGCAAATGTCAGCCAGTGCAGAATACTCAGGGCATAATTCAGCTCAGGATTGCAGATAGGTAGTTACCAGAGAAGTCAGAAAAATGCATGTATGAATCTAGAAGCAGAATTTGCCTTTAGTTTCAAGGCTTGCTTTAGTCAGTGTCATAGGAGATAGCATTGCACCTCAGGCAAGAAAATGTGACTGTTTAATGTTGGAGACAGATCTCATGCTTAAGCCCAGAATCTGAAGTATAACTGTTGTTTGTTTTTATTTTAGCAGGGAAAAAGAGCAATAATCCCAACTGGCAGTCCAAAAATAACCAGATTGGAGGGTGGAAGGAAAAAGAAGGAAAAGGGAAGAGAAAAATGGAGAGGTAAATTGCTATTCTGTAGACACAGTTCCCTTGCAAGGAGGAGCAGGGAATCAGCATTTTGTCAAGAGTATGTGGAAATAGTGTTTCATGGTGTATGGTGACTCTGTAAATGAGGAACAGAGACACCACTGCTATGCGACATCATTTGAAATGATTAATGAAAATAACGTGGGAGAGAAAGGGGAAGACACCATCTCTAGTTCTCTTCTGGAGATGTTAAAATCTTATGGTCAGTGGTCTCATAAATTTCCTGAAATAGCTCCTGAATAGTGGACTATTACTGTTTCTAGTAATTCACTATCATGTTATCTCTCCCCATTTCTTTTTTAACTTCTGGTCTCACATAAATATTTCTAGTCTAGGTGGTTCAAGCATCAGGAAAGACTGATTCTTTGCAATGAAAAATGGTGGTGCAGCAGGAGATTCTTATTTGTTGAATCTTCTTTCCTTGATCATCGTATTATTGGGTGTTGTGCATGCTGTGGGATAATGGCATGTTTAGGCCCTGATATGCTTATATTTTGCATTTTCTTCACATTTGTGCAAATGATAAACCTCAGCCACAATGGAAAGAATGTTATGAGTCCTGAGATGGATTCTCCCTTTTTTTTTCTGATTCAGAAGTGAGCTGTGATATGATACTATTTTGACACTGGAAATGTGAAGGGAGAAAAGTAGAAAATATGAGACTTTAAAAGTGCTCTGAATCCACTCTTAATGTCTATTGCTTTTTTCCTCATGAAAATAAATTTAAATGTTTTCCTCCTGAACATTTTAAAAATTCAATATATTCCTGCTGCTGCTGCTAGGTATTACATAGGCTGCCTTTTTTAAGGTTTGAACCATAAATACAACACAGTGGGATATTTTAGTAGTGATGCATAATATTTCTTTATATTATTTTACTTTAATTTTATAGATTTGTTTTATAATATATGTTTGCAACTTGGACCATTTCTTCTAAATTATGTATTAGTGATTGCAGTAAAAGTTCGTAGTTTCTTCTGGCCATTTTTCTCTCCCTCTGCTGTAAAAGAATAGATGGCAACACGTAATGATATTCCTTCTATCATCTTATATTTATATAAGAGATACTAATATAAAATATATATAAAGATACATATTTATATCAGCTGAGTGGCCTGGAGAAGGCTGAAATAACCCAAACTCCACTCAAAGACTGTAAATGCTGCCCATTGTTTTGCTGCAGAAGTAAATGCAGAGTCTTGTGTCTGGGCTGGGATAACCCTATGCAACAGCACATAGTGGGAGGCCAGCTGACTAAAAAGCAGCTTTACAGCTATTGGAGGCATTCATGGACAACAAGTTGGGCATGAGTCTGCAATGTGCCCTTGCAGCAAAGACAGGCAGTCATGTCCCAGGTAGTGTTAGCAAGCATAACCAGCAGGTCTTTCCCCTCTGTTTGGCACTCGTGAGACCACATCAGAACTATGATCAGTTGGGGGTTCCCCAGTAAGAGAAATACATTGTCATGCTGAGTTGAGTCCAGCAGAGAACTGCCAAGATGGTCATGGGACTGGAGTACAGCAGAGGTTGTTCAAGGTGATGCTGAGAGAACTGGGTTTGCTCAGCATTAAAAAGAGATGGCTGATAGGAAGTCATTGCTCACTTCAGGTACCTGGGGCATACAGAGGAAACAGGGCCAGACCCTCCTCAGAGGTGTGTAGTGAAAGGACCAGAAGCCACAGACAAAATGAAACAGGAAATTCTGACTAATAGGGGTGGAGGGAAATTACCAGGGGTAGAATCACTAGAGCAAATGTCTTGAGAGGCTATGGGATCTCTGTCCTTGGAGGTTTGCGGAACTTGGCTGGACTTGGTTTGAGATGGGTGCTCAGACCAGATGAGCTCTGGAGATTGCCACTAACTCACATGTTTTTGTGCATACTAGTGAAAGGACAAGAGGGAGATAAATTGAATCTCCTGTGGGACTGTGTAGAATACGAGGTATCTCCTTAGTTAGAATTGTATGAATGTTTGTGGGTTGGTTTTGATGTTGGTTTTTTTTTTACTGAAATGCTCTGGCTCTTACCTTAACTTACTTGGAGATATTTCTATAGTTTCTCATTTTAAGATGAGTTTTGAGTATTTGTATGTTTGTCAGCTTTGCAATCATAACAGTAAATCTTTCTCATAATATCTCTAGCAACTGATAAGGACCTTAATGATCCAATGCCCTATTTCTTTGTAATCTTTGATCAATGAAGTAGATAACAAAATCAATTTCTGAATTATTCTGGCTTGGGTTTAACTTGGATAGTGTCTGTAAATACTTAGTAGAGATGATTTACATTTATCTGTGTCTCGGTTTCTGCTTCAGGCTCTCAGCAAGCTCCAGCAGATATGAAATGGATATGAAAGGCTGTAGCAATAGTTAGAAGGCTCTTTTCAGAACTGTGATTCTAGAAATGTTTTTTGTGTGTAGTGATTTTAAGTTCTGGAGGACAAGATAAAAGGCTACCAGTCTTCCAAACAGGTGAGACCCAGTGTAATCAAGTGTCTGATGGCATTACTTTGAAAGAAGAATGCAAAAAGTACATTTTGTGTAGCTTTATTTCAAATCACTCAATTGCGTTGAACCCATCTGCGAGATGTTAATTTACCTTCTGGAGGCTGCTTTCTTGAACCTTCTTGAAAGCTCAGTGGTTCACCAGCTTTGAGCCCATACAGACTGGGCAGCTGTCCAGCTAACAAAAGAATCTCCCAAGCAAGGATTGCAATGTACCGGTGTGACTTATCTGACTTAGATGTCTTCTCTATTGCCACATGTCAGTCATCTGAACATACAGTTTTTGAACTGTGTTTGGGCGTCTCCTTTCAGGAGGGCACTTGATGTCTCTCCTGAGCTCAGTTGAGGACAATTCCTCCTGTAGAAGTCTCCCAGTATCTCTCTTTTCATGGGAGCCCTTGGAGCAAGGTTTGAGCTGCATGAACTATTGTGATGAAGGCAGCTTGTCCAGTGATCCATTGAGGCAGGAGCCGTATGGCCCTGCTGTGCCCCATCGGATCAGAATTTGTCCGTATGTGTGCAGGTAGGATGCCAAGAAATTCGCCATCACTGCTGAACCAGCTTATCCCACTTGCAGCCTGTTCCCTTTGCAAGCAGTCCCTGGCAGGCAGGGCACCAGGGACGGATGGCAGGGATTAGCTAGCAGTGGCTGACCCTACTCACGGTGGGGGCAAGTGCAGGAACCCACATGCATATGTTGTGCAGTGCCCACTGACTGGACTCAGCACCATGTCTATGTCCACGCTTGCTAAACCCCAAGTTTCTTGGAACCATAATTGCAGCAGTGTACGTGGGTGGACTGGTTTGTGCAGAAGATGCAGTCACTTCACTGATGGTGGCCTGAAGAGGCTTTTGGTGTAACTGGCATGAACTGTGTGATGCAGCCTGGTCAGGTGCTCAGGGCAGCAGTCAGGAACTGCACTCTACGCTGCTTCACATTTTGTACTCTTTTCCATTCAATAACAACAGAAAGTGGTTGTGGTCCTGCTCCAGCTCCCACTAAAGTCTGCCAGTGGTGCTGGAGGAAGAGATGGCCCATTCACCACATTAGTATAATTTGGATTATCCTGAGAGAGGGAGAAAGAAAGAGAATTAAAAAGTGAACTGAACAGAGGGAATGTCATGCAAAAATACATTCTTTTCTGTGTGATTTTGTAGTCAGTACTTCATTCTCCCTTGGATAAGTTGGAATTACAATTTTTAAGTATTAATTTAAAATGAAGCTAATATTAAGGTGATCTATAATCAGTCCTTAAAAGTATTTTAACTAGTATTACATTCAGAGAAATGCTAATGTATTGCCGCTTCCTGAAATGTATATACCTCCTATGAACTACGCAGACTGCTTTAAAAGAATCATGTCATCAGTTTGGCCAGCTGACAAGGCATATGGCAAACTCTTTTATGACTCCTGTTATCTGTAATGATAGCTGTTTGTGTAGCTGTGCTATTCACTAAGCGAAGGTAGAACAGTAGTGCAGCAGTTGCTACTAAGTGGAGCAAACTGCAAGAGGACCAAAAAAAAAAAAAAAAAGAAGACCAACGTTTTGGAAATGTGAGAAAAAGAAAAAAAAAAAAAAAAGCAGTGCAGTCACCCAGGGGAGTTTCTATAGCAGCAGTAATCTGAAACACCCAGGCACATTGCCAAGAGCTCCAGTAGGTTGTTAATCAAAACTTCCAAGTCTCCTGCCAATCCAAGGCTCTCTCAGCATCAGAAGGGAAAACTGTCACATAATGATGTGATACTTAACTTGCATAAAGAGTTTTTAATTTTTTTTTTGGTGAGGAGTATTCTTGTTTTATTCTTTTTCAGTCTATAAAATTACCCTTCCCATTGGACTTTTAACTGAAGTAATGTGTTTTTATACATTAATACATTTAATTTTTACTAAACATACAGGACACTTTCTGATACCCTGGAGAGTATATTCTCTTTTATTGGCTTCAATTAGGTGTTCCAGTAGTAATATGCAAATTTTATAATCCTTCCTAGGAATGGAGTAAAAGAGCATTGAGAAGATTAAACAGGTGTCTGTGTAAAGCACTTTAATTGTAATGTAAAATTTAAGTAAACTCTCTATAAGCATTCCAGTTATCTATATAGTTAACGATAATATATGGCTTTGCTCCAGGCATTGAATTAACTGAAAAATAACGTCAGACACTTCCTGTTTAGAGGGATAGTTGGTTTCTTAATATTATCACACAGTAGGCATTTTTTTCAACTTGATGCTGACAAAGCCCATTATCTAGGAAATGTTTCTATCGTATAATCTTAGCAACAGTGAAGGCAGCAGTGATTTCAGTCTTTTCCATCTTAATTTTCTGGGTGATGGATTTTTCAGTTCACTTGCAGGAGGAGGGGAAGGCTGCGGGACGTAAAAGGAAAGTGTATTCTTTGGCATGGTTTTCCCTTCCCACTGCTTGCCTGGCAGGCCCTCGGCAGTCCCAGTGAAGGATGCCGGTGAGA